ATCTATCTCTAGTGGATTTTTGCCATATATAGCAAAGGGGAACGATCACTATATATCATTCTAGTTTTTTGATTAGTGGGAATAGTTGTAACCTTGATTGCTTATTAAGTAAGTTCTAAATTAGATAAGTTATTTACCCATGTCCAATAAATTTTAAATTAGGAGTGTAATTTGATCTAATTATCATGTCTTTATTGCCTATGCCAATATTAACAAAAGACTTAACATCCAATATTTTTAATGCGAATTTTGTTATCCCAATCTTTGGAATCACTTAATTTCCAAAAAATAAACCTTAGCCCTATATTATTCTTCCATTTTGTTAGATGTCCACATATCGACATTATAAATTACCTTCAAATCTAACTATAAATTAATTATCCTTATTTATTGGGGTTTATAATGATTCCTTTTGATCATAAATTTACTTTTCAATCAATTTCTTTTTTTCTGTTTTATTTTAGATCCCAAAATCATTTTCTACATTATATATATCCCTCTTCGATAAATTTTCCCATTCTTTTCCCATCAGTCTTAATAGTTTTATTAATTCACTCAATTATGGTAATAAAGTAACTTTAACCAATCCTAATTTTCTGAATTAATCAATTTATAGATCCAAATTAGAAATCTAAATTTCTTATAAATTATTAATAATGCAGTCCTCAGCTGACTTAATAAAGCTGCTTAAAATATTTATAACTTAATGACATTCTTATATATTAAACTATATTTCCTTTATAATTTGTACTCCTAAAGCCATCTAACTTCGGACCAAATCAAATTGTAATAAACTTTCCGAATGGTCTCTGTGAATTTCAAGACATAATTAGCAGCATAGCTTCAAGTTTTAGCAGGTTCTATATGTACAGACTCCAATCAAGGGATTTTTGAGGTGATCGATTCTTTGACAATATTGGTTTACAAAATTCATTTATTATTAATTGTATTAAAATATTCAATAAAAAATAATTGAATTTAAAGTAGAAATTATGAATAATTTTACAATTTAAATGGAATTTCGATTGAGTTAACAACTTGTGAAAGCAAATAAGTTGACTCAATCTCTATTTTTGATTTATTTGCTAATTGTAATTTTTCTATATGTTCTAAAGTATTGTTAGGAATAGTTATATTAATAAAATAAAATTATTAAATTTTGAACTATTATTTAGCAGTGTATTTTTTTCTTCTATCTCCTAAGTAGCCTATTTAAGGAACTTAAACTCGATATTAGTAATTAATATAATAATTCACTTTCATTAAGCCTGTTCAATATTATTATCATTGTTCTATGCCATGCCCATTACCTTCGATAATTATTTCTAAAGTATCATAATTAAATGATTCAATCATTGATTTTGGGAGACTGAAATTGAGTTACCAATTTTTTCTTCAATTGTTCAAATTAGGATTAATGATTTAATCAAACTTTCTATCTATCCAATCAATTTTTGTACAAATTTGTAACAATAAATTGTATTTCTAAATTACAATGATTTTATGGGAATACTTAGTGAGTGATAATATTAATTGAAGGTATTTTTATTAATGAAGATGGTAATAAAAAAAAAGGATTTACTAATCATAGTAGTATACCTTCAATACTTTTTTAAAATATAAAAGAAAAAGATATAAATTTGATAACTTTAAAGATTATTTGATAATATTGCATTTCTCATTTTAATATTCATCACAATATATAATAAGAATTATGAAACAAAGCCAAAATTTTAAAAGGCTTTAGGAATTAATAAATGAATTACTTAAAGTCTTTGGGCATTGTCAAGAAATAAAAGGATGACAGCTACCGATGTAACTACTGCTAATTTGAATGTGATAGCTAGCTCAAGATGATTCATCACAATTCGTCCTGTTTTTTTAGTGAATATGATAAAATGAAGAAAAGGACAGGGTTAAGTAGAAGTTAACTAAAGGAACAAGATAAAAAATAGAAAAGGGAAATGAGAAATATCCTTAATTCAAAAATACAACAAAGTAATTTAGATGTGCAAACTTAGAATAAAAAGGAAAATCTGTCAAAAGAAGAAGAAAAATTAAAATCAAATAACTTATAAAATGAGAATAAACATAATCTTGAATTTGCATCAGGCGATGAAAATGAGTTAGTTGATTCAAGTAATCATTGATAATAATTCTTAGTTTAGGATGATTAATTTATGATTAAAGGAGAGGAGAACAACATTATTTTAAGTATGTAGGCTCTTTAAAACCGATCTGAATTAAGGCTAAAATGGGACTGGCCATAACATGAAAAATTTACAAAATATTTACGAATGCAAATTCTAAAAGGGAGAGAAATTACTTCTGACTTAAGATCTACCTTAGAATATAAAGGTGAAGAGCGTTCTGAAGAAATTTGTGAAGTTAATTCTAATAATTGATGCCAATGTTAAGGGTAGAATGAAGTATTCCTCTAATTTACCGTGAGTTCCCGCCTTTTGAGTCAACAGGGAGTATGCTAAGGTGATTCGGGTAAGGTGTCAATTGATTTACTGGGGGGTGGAGAACCAATGAAAAGTCCAATCCGAGATTTGATGAAATCATTAGAAAGGGGTGGAGATAATGGTAATTGAGCTTAAGACTGCTCCAAAGATACCTTATCCGGGTGGGGGTTAAGGCAGGAATTAATGACTAAATCTATATAG